CTCAAGGCTTCGCAGAATTATTCGTGGAGTACGTGGTGTCGTGCTTTGGCCTGCCGGATAGCATCATCGCTGACAGGGATCCATGCTGGACTTCTCAATTCTGGACTTCTGTCGCCGCGGCTTTGAAAACGAAGATGTCCTTATCGTCATCGCACCACCCACAGCACGACGGGCAGACAGAGAACCTCAATCGTCAGCTCGAAACGATGTTGAGGGCGTATGTTTCCAGAGACCGGAAGGACTGGGCATCCTGGCTCAAGTTGCTGGAATTTGCCTATAACAGCAACGTTCATTCTTCGACTGGCACTTTTCCTTTCAAGCTCCTCTATGGCTTCATGCCCAAAGCTCCATTGGACTTCTTGCTACCTAAGGATCGCAATGCCCCAGCTACATACGGGATGAAGGATGAAGCGAGTGCTTACCTAGACCAACTCCGCGTTCATCGAGAGAACGCTCGTATCTCCATAGCGAGAGCTCAAGAGGACCAGGCAAAATACCATAATCGGGGAAGGAAAGACGTTCCGGAATTCAAAGTTGGTTCCAGAGTCCTCGTGAACCCTCATTCCCTGGAATGGATGGAATCGAAAGGGGAAGGCGCGAAACTAGTGCAGCGATGGATTGGTCCATTCGAAGTCTTACAGAAAATAAACCCTAGGACCTATCGGCTTCGACTCAACGACAAGTACCCTGGATTCCCAATCTTCAACCTAGATCATATGAAGCCGTACAAAGAAAGCCTGGACGGGTTTGGTAAACGCACCATAATGCCCGACACGCGCGACTTCAAATCGGAATCGGAAGAATATGAAGTAGAAAAGATCGTTGGCAAGAAGTACGATAAACGCAGAAAACAAGATATCTGGCTCGTGCGATGGAGAAATTTCGGCCCACAGTTCGATACTTGGCAAACGAAGAAGGACTTACGCAACGCCCCCGAGATGATGCGAGCCTTCGAGCGAGCTGAGGAACTGAAGTCGGCCTAGTCGGACCGAAGGGTACTCGGCCCGCGGCCCGAATGTATTTGTATCTTCCCATGCTCTCCTCATTCTCTTCCCATGCCACCCCGGCAGACGTTCTTGGAAGACTCGCCTAACCAACGTGCCGGTTCACATGGTCCAGCATAGATAAGGAACGTCGTTTCGCCACGTCACTTTCTCCCACTCTCTCTCTCTCTTTCTCTTACCCTCACTCTCGACTCGCGCTTGACTCTCATTTCTACCTCTATCGATTCTTGGGACAATTCCAGCTCCCTTGGTCTTCTCGAATATTCGGTTGACCAGAGGGTTGGCTTGAGCCTCGTAGTCCTCGGATATCCGGTTCACGAGCTCATAAATATCCCTTTATTATTCAATTACAATGGAAGATTTTCTCGTTGATGCGTCTGGATCTGTGGTCGAACCCACCTGGTCTAAAAGGGACAATACGTGGTTCTCGTCCTTCGGAGCAACATCTGATGCGATACCTCGAGAGGCGCTCAGATTCAAATCTCCCTTGCCTTACCTGCTGAAGCGGAACACCTCTGACGACGTGCTGAAAGTTTTGGATTTCACTAAGTCTCCGGTGTGGTACAACCCGGAGGAGCACTGGCTCTCCTGGATCCCGCTCGGTAAACCCGACTGGAGCGACCACGAGGAGGATCCTCTTGCTTACCTTTTTGATGTCCGACCCGTGCCGACTCAAACTAATCACACCTTCATCTATGGCACCGGGGATGACGATGATGACCCCATGGAACCTAAAGAGGTGTACGCCGGATCTTTTTTAGAGGAGAACTGGCAGAGATCGGCTAAGTTCAGCGCCGAGCTCCTTCACGGAATTTGCTCCACGTTGGCGTCCACCACGAGCTGGTATAATTCCAATCGCTGGACTGGCGCTTCGGGGGACGTTCCGCGTGGGGTAGACGAGACCTCTATATCCATGCTCTACGCCTCGGAGGAGAACGCGCGAAATGCGGGGACGGTCATTAAGCGATCCACGCTGAGCTTCGTGGGTTTCATAGCTTGGTTCCAGACCCTTATCGACTTAGAGGATACCGCTCTTCACGAGGAGGATAAGGCTTACGTTCGAGCCTTACGACTCAACGACCGCCCCAAGACGGGTGTCCTGTATAGCATGAGCAGAGACTTTCATGAAGCGAATTTTCCACACCTCTTGTTGCACCGGGTTCCTATACACGTCGCCTGGACGAACGAGGAGAAGGGGAATTGGCGATTTCTTCGCTTGAGCCCGGAAGTCTGGGGAGAATACGCAGCTGTAAGAGCTGCTACGACACCTGGAGAAACGATCACTCTAGCGGACTTGCCCAGTGGAGCCGCCTGGAAGAATGATTGGGAGCGCTCGGATTGGTACTTCCAGAACAAGGCTGCAGGAAAACGTGGAAAAGCGGTTGCTGGATTCCTTCCAACATGGGATTACTCCATCGTGGACTTTCACCTGTGGGGCGCCAGACCGCTTACCGACCGAAAGCATATACGGGCGTACGCAGAACGGTTCAAGGCGACCGTGACTACCACAGACAGGACGACGATCTGCACCTTCTTCCGTCAAAACCCTTTGCGGAGAGATGAACCCCCTTTCGATCGAGTTCAGCCCAATCCTCACGTGCACGAACTCGAGGATTTCTCGACCCTGCCTGGCGACGAACGCACCAGGGAGAGCGATGTTTTTCATGAAAAGACGGAGGTGGCGCGGGAGCAGCACAAGGACATCCACGCTCCAAGGCCCGCTCGCCCGTTCAATTCCTTCAACGGAGCTCGGGAGATAGCGCCTCTGGACAAGAGCCTCAGAGGAAACACGGGCAAGGCTCAAGCGGTACGACGCGGTCGTGACGAGAGGGAAGTTCCCAAATCGAGCTCGACGAGCAGCTATGGAGAAGCTTGGAGCAGCTCCCCTTTAAAGGAATGGCTCGGCCCCATTACTCAGACTCTCGACACGCGCGACGCCCGCTCAGGAGCGCCTGGGAGCTCGGGGTTCGCTTCGACCTGGGCCAGAAAGATGGCGGGGGAGCGTCGTCGGTCGTCCCGCTCGACCAGTCTGCGGAGAGGACCTGCAGCAATTTCACGAAGGCGCTCCCAGTCGCTCGTTTCGGAGCGCACTCTGGATACGGACGAGGAAGGCAGGAATTTCGCGGACGAATACGCAGCTGCATCAGCCTCTGAGGGAGGGGAATCGAACCGCGTACCTGAGGTGGTGGAACGTGGCAGCGGGGATCACCCCTTCTCGGGCCCATCGCCTATTCACACCTGGGACCCGGGGTTCCAAACGGATGAACAGGCCAGAGAAGCCATAGAAAGCTGGGCTCCGGCTGTCGTAGAGCTCACTCCCGTCTACGGAACTTATCCCAGACTCACCTGGAACCAGGAATGGCTTTCGCGCGCGATTCTCGTATGCGACGACAACCGGTCCTACTGGCGGCTGAAAGCTTACGCTGCGGTCTTCAAAGGATTTACCAAATTCGAGGAATTATTGGAGCTAGCTATCAGGTTGGCGCTCCCTTTTGCCGTCTACATCCCGCGCAACGAAGTCCATAAGTTCTCTGCCCCTAATGTTTCGTCGCTCGACCTAAAGACGCTCGGAGCGCTCTACGCTCCGGGGTATGTCGATCACCCTCTGGTTTGGACCGGGCCGGGTGGGGGACCTGCGGTATACGGCCAGTACGAGGGCCGCGTGGGATCTCTGCTCGGACGCCCGGAAGCTGTCGCCTTCGTCCCTCTGGGAGGAGTTTGCCGGTTCGTGGCGGAGGTCTACGACGAGAACATAATATACCGTTACGCGCAGGGACCAAGTCTACAGGTCTCGGAATTCGACGCGGGAGAATCTCGACGGATCGATCGCCACGGTACCAGTTTGTTTTACACCACGGACCGTGTCTCTAACAGCGAGATCTACCTGCTCCTCGGACACATCGCTGGCGCGAGCTCTGGCGCGGATCGTACGCTATGGCCTACTCCTGAGGTCTTCGAGTGCGAGAGCCCGCACATGCGTGGATACCTATCCGAGGGGAGCTATCGCATCCTGAGTAACCTGCGTCGCGACATCATTGAGCTCAAAAGGTATAAATGGCGTACTTACTCCCAATGGAAAGAGTACTTCCGCGTTGGAGCGAAAGGTGACCACGAACCCAAGTCTGTCCCTAGCGCGGAGGACTTCGAGGCGGGAGCGAAGCTGATCGGACAAGCGTTCCCCATCAATTGGCTCGATATGGACCTCAAAGATATCGTTCTTCTCGAAGAGTTCAAACCCCTCGCACAACGAGACTAGGGGGGCTCTGTAAGGAATCCTCTATACGGTGAACATTATATTCAAATTTTACGACGTCTTACTATGATTAGTCTCTTTGTACTTGAGTTTGCGACTGTTTGATTCAGTAGATTATACCTGTCATCGATACACGTGATGAATTCTTATCTACGCTTTGACCCAAACTCTCACCTACTAGGCCTTCTGCTCTCGTTGAGCTCCTCCGAGACCTTGGGAAGGCACGGGTGACAATCTCTATAAGAATTCACGCTACGTTTACGATTTTACTCTCCCTAAACGAAACTAACGTCCTTATCTCTTGGAGATAACGCCCCCCTCTCCTCATCTCGAATATTCGGAGAGGATTGCTTGCGATCATTTGAAGTACGAATATTCGGCTTCAGATCGCAAGCTTCAGAGTGGGACCGTTGTATTACAAGAGTCCATACCACAATATAATCCTAGTTGCACCCGCCAGACTTTCAGTAGGACGAGAACCCTGTGAGACTGCATCAAGTCTTACATACCTACCTACCTACCTACCCAATCTACATGAGTATCACATCAACGGAAGAAGAAAACTATGCTGTAAAGCCGCCTCCATGGTGCCCGGTATTACAAGCACTAACCAAAGTCAATAAATCCACCACTGAGCCTCGCTCATCCTTGAGCCTGCATTAATATTCATGTTGGCTATATACTCAATTTTTCAGTGGAAACTAGGCGGTAAAAAAAAAAGAATTCGCGACGCAATTGGTTGATGGCTCAGGCCTGAATCGAACAGGCTTCTTCTGCTTTAACGGCCTAAATATCCTATTCAAGTAATGCAGATGTGGACCATTCACCACCGAGCCTTTCTTTCCCCACAACATGGATTGACTATCTACTCCATTTTCAAACCAGGAATTGCCCTGGCAAAAAAAAAAAAAGGGAATTCAGACAGAGCCCTATGGCTCAGGCCCGAATCGAACAGGCTTCTCTGCATTTAAATTGTTTTCAACACCACAGTCCAAGTAAGTAATGCAGATGTGGACTATCCACCACCGAGCCTTTCTTTCCCCACAATATGGATTCGCTATCTACTCCATTTTCAAACCAGGAATTGCCCTGGCAAAAAAGCATCCAGGAATCACAGCCATGGCTCGGGCCCGAATTGAACGGGCTTCTTCTGCTTCATCCTAGCACATTACTTCCCAAGTAATGGAGATGTGGACCATCCACCACCGAGCCTTTCTCACCCTTCTTCCTTCCCTCATTTGATCCCAATTTTCTCACCAAAATTTGCACTGAAAAAGAGCAATTGTCGAAATGGTAATGGCTCAGGCCAGAATCGAACAGGCTTCTTCTGCATTTAAATTGTTTGCGACAGCACAGTCCAAGCAAGTAATGCAGATTCAGATGTATACCATCCACCACCGAGTCTTTCTTTCCCCATAATATGGATTCACTATCTACTTGAATTTCAAACCAGGAATTGCCCTGGCAAAAAAGCATCCAAAGATCACAGCCATGGCTCGGGCCCGAATCGAACAGGCTTCTTCTGCTTCATCCTAGCACATTACTTCCCAAGTAATGGAGATGTGGACCATCCACCACCAAGCCTTTCGTATACTCCTTCCTTCCCTCATTTGATCCCAATTTTCTCACCAAAATTTGCACTCAAAAAATAAAAGAGTTGCACATATAACGGCTCATGCCTGAATCGAACAGGCTTCTTCTGCTTTAATGGTACACGTAGCGCTCAAGTAATGCAGATGTGGACCATTCACCACTGGGCCTTCCTATCCACCTTCCATCCTTCGTACTAACCCCAATTTTCTCACCAAATTTGCACTCCAAAAAAGCAATTGTCGAAATGGTAATGGCTCAGGCCCGAATTGAACGGGCTTCTTCTGCTTTTAAATTGTCTCTGATTCCATAATCCAAGTAATGCAGATATCTATCATACCACCAAGCCATTATTGTTGCTCTAATTTCTGCTCTCCGTACATACTCGATTTTGAAACCAGGAACTGGCTACTAGTAGCAAAAAGGCATCCAAAACTCACGGCCATGGCTCGGGCCCGAATCGAACAGACACCTTCTGCGTTAACACCATGAATATCCTTTTCCTCAAGTAATGCAGATGTGGACCATCCACCACTGAGCCACCGAGCCTTTCTTTCCCCACAACATTGATTGACTAGCTACTTGAATTTCAAACCAAGAATTGCCCAGGCAAAGAAAAAAAAAGGAATTCAGACAGAGTCCCATGGCTCAGGCACGAATCGAATGGGTTTCTGCATTTAAATTATTGTTGAGGCGATAATCCGCCATGATCCAAGTAATTCAGATGTGGACCATCCACCGCTGAGCTGTTCCTATCCTTCCTCCTTCCCACTTATTTACTAACCCAATTTTCTAACCAAAATTTTTACGCTGATGGCCCAGGCCGGAATTGGACAGGCTTCTTCTGCATTTAAATTGTTTCTGATGTCATAATCCAAGTAATGCAGATGTGGACCATCCACCACTGAGCCTTTTTCATGATTCTTCTTGTCCTCATATTAACCCAACATTCTCACCAAATTTGCACCCAAAAAAAGAGTCAACACTACGATGTACGATTACTGACACTGGTTGAGCATTTCGAGTTTTTCAGTGAAAATATTGGTGAAAAACATGTGTTATTTTTCACCGAAATTTTCACCTTTTTTTTCAGTGAAAAATTTAAATAGTTTTCCAGTACTTTTCTGACTCAAAATCAGACTGAAAATTTTGAAAGAAAATCTATGACTTCTCCAGTAGATGTACTACCAATAATTCATACACATTTTCAGCTGAAAATGTTGGTGAAAAATCTAAAAAGTTAATCACCCGAATTTTCACTTGGAAAATGACAGTAAAATGTGTGAAAAATGTAAAACTTTTTTCACCTAAATTTTCACTTGGAAAAGGAATGTAAAATGTGTGAAAAATGTTCAGTGAAAAAAAGTGTAAAATTCAAAATCACGAATCCATGTTTTCAAACATTTTTCACCATCTTTTTTTCCACTTTTATCACTGAAAAATTGGTGAAAGAGAGGTGAAAAATTCAAAATGTTTTTTTGACATTTTACACTGGAAATCAATGTGAAAAATGCGAAATAATATTCATTTGTTTTCTTCAGACATCATTGGTTGAACATTACAAGTTTTACACTGAAAAAATGGGTGAAAAATGTCTATCACTTTTCACACTTGTTTTCACCGAAGAAGCAAGTGAAAAACTTGAAACTTTTCAGTGAGAAATTTAAATAGTTTTCCAGTACTTTTCTGACTCAAAATCTATCACGTTCCAGACGTTGCAAAAATCAAAAGCAAACAAAAACTTTGAGTTCGGAAAACTTGTTTTTTCCAAATCTCAGAATATCCCTATATTACATCTGTACATACTATGTACATGTAGTATGTACCTTCCCAAAGGACCAGGGCTAAATCTGCGCAGAGCATGTGTGGAACGGCAATTGATGATAGTATTGATGCGATCAATTGAAGCCGAAGCTGTGCCGAGATTTCCTACCCTCAGTTGACCTCCAAAGATTCAGTAATGAGGTTTTAGTGAGGTTGTAATGATGTATAAATGAGGTAAACATAGATACACATAGAGGATGCACTCTGATGGAACATGAATTAAATTGAGAAAGAAAATGCAGGTCCCAAAACTTTTTTTCCCAAAAAATCTCAGAATGCCTTCATATTACATCCACTGTAGGGTGGACAAACCTACCGACAAAATTTGAGCAGAACATGTGCAGAACGCATCCGCGGGAGTCCCCGGGCCGTTGATAATATTGATCCCATCAATAAAGCTGAAATGAAGCCGGGATTTTGTTCTCTAGCTGGGTTGACCTCCATTGCTTCAGTAATAGTAATAGCCTTGGGGCTATAAAACCTCGAGGTTGCCTCGAGGTGTGTTTAGCTTGAACAACTCGGAAGTTGCCGGAATTAGCCGAATTGCATTGGTAATTCCAAGTCATTCTCTGAGTTTTTCGAACTGAAATGCACCTCGTAGCTTCCTCCTGCATCACTCCTAGGCCAAATTACCAGAATTGAATCTCTAGAGGTCAACTGACTGAGGGTAGGAAATCTCGGCACAGCTTCGGCTTCAATTGATCGCATCAATACTATCATCAATTGCCGTTTCACACATGCTCTGCGCAGATTTAGCCCTGGTCCTTTGGGAAGGTACATACTACATGTACATAGTATGTACAGATGTAATATAGGGATATTCTGAGATTTGGAAAAAACAAGTTTTCCGAACTCAAAGTTTTTGTTTGCTTTTGATTTTTGCAACGTCTGGAACGTGATAAAAATCAGAGTCAAAGAAAATTCATGACTTCTCCAGCGGGTTTAGTACCAGTAATTCATACACATTTTCAGCCAAAAATGTTGGTGAAAAAAGTAAAAAACAATTCACCTGAATTGCCACTTTGAAAATGAAGAGGAAAATGTGAAGAATGTAAAAGTTTTTTCACCCAAATTTTCACATTGAAAATGAAAAGTAAAATGTGGAAAATGTAATTTTATATATATATTCGGGGTCGGGTTGCTCAGGAAGTAAATGGATTTTGAGACAATTGACCATTTTACACCCAGATGCATCCAGCACACTCTTTATAGCACTCAGGAGAATATTCGCGCCACTCCCCCGGCGACCCGACCCAAATACCTTGCTAAAATCACGAAAAATAGCCATTTTAGGGTGTATTCGGGGTCGGGTCGCTCAGGAAGTAAATGGATTTTGAGACCATTGACCATTATAGACTCAGATGCATCCAGCACACCTTTTATAGCACTTAGGAGAACATTCGTGCCACTCCCCCGGCGACCTGATCCTAATACCTTGCTAAAATCACGAAAAATGGCCATTTTAGGATGTATTCTGGGTCGGGTTGCCCAGGAAGTAAATGGATTTTGGGACTATTGACCATTATACACTCAGATGCATCTAGCGCACCGACCAAGGCACGTAGGAAGTAAATGGATTTTGGGACTATTGACCATTATTCACTCAGATGCATCTAGTGCACCGACCAAGGCACTCAGGAGAATATTTGCGCCACTCCCCTGGCGACCCGACCCAAATACCTGGCTAAAATCACGAAAAATAGCCATTTTAGCGTGTATTTGGGGTCGGGTCGTTCAGGAAGTAAATGGATTTTGTGATAATTGACCATTATACACTCAGATGCATCCAGCACACCCTTTATAGCACTCAGGAGAATATTTGCGCCATTCCCCCAGCGACCCGACCCAAATACCTTGCTAAAATCACGAAAAATGGCCATTTTAGGGTGTATTCTGGGTTGGGTTGCCCAGGAAGTAAATGGATTTTGGGACTATTGACCATTATACACTCACATGCATCTAGCGCACCGACCAAGGCACTCAGGAGGATATTCGCGCCACTCCCCCAGCGACCCGACCCAAATACCTTGCTAAAATCACGAAAAATAGCCATTTTGGGGTGTATTCGGGGTCAGGTTGCCCAGGAAGTAAATGGATTTTGGGACTATTGACCATTATACACTCACATGCATCTTGCGCACCCCCAATGCACTCAGGAAAATATTCGCGCCACTCCCCTGGCGACCCGAGCCAAATACCTTGCTAAAATCACGAAAAATAGCCATTTTGGGGTGTATTCGGGGTCGGGTTGCCCAGGAAGTAAATGGATTTTGAGACTATTGACGATTATACACTCAGATGAATGTAGCGCACCGACCAAGGCACTCAGGAGGATATTCGCACCACTCCCCCAGCGACCCGACCCAAATACCTTGCTAAAATCACGAAAAATGGCCATTTTAGGGTGTATTCTGGGTCGGGTCGCTCAGGAAGTAAATGGATTTTGAGACTATTGACCATTATAGACTCAGATGCATCCTGCACACCCTTTAAAGCACTCAGGAGAATATGTGCGCCACTCCCCCAGCGACCCGACCCAAATACCTTGCTAAAATCACGAAAAATAGCCATTTTAGGGTGTATTCTGGGTCGGGTTGCTGAGGAAGTAAATGGATTTTGGGAGTATTGACCATTATACACTCAGATACATCTAGCGCACCGACAAATGCACTCCGGAGAATATTCGCGCCACTCCCCCAGCGACCCGACCCACATACCTGGCTAAAATCACGAAAAATGGCGATTTTAGGGTGTATTCTGGGTCGGGTTGCTGAGGAAGTAAATGGATTTTGGGATTATTGACCATTATACACGCAGATGCATCCAGCACACCCTTTATAGCACTCAGGAGAATAATTGCGCCATTCTCCCAGCGACCCGACCCAAATACCTGGCTAAAATCACGAAAAATAGCCATTTTAGGGTGTATTCGGGGTCGGGTTGCCCAGGAAGTAAATGGATTTTAAAACTATTGACCATTCTACACTCAGATGCACCCATCACACCCTTTATGGGCCTCAGGCAAATATTCGCGTTACTCCCGCAGCGACCCGACCCAAATACCTTACTAAAATCACGACAAATGGCCATTTTAGGGTGTATTCAGGGCCGGGTCACTCAGGAAGCAAATGGATTTTGGGATTTTTGACCATTATACACTCAGATGCATCTAGCGCACCGACCAATGCACTCAGGTGAATATTCGCGCCACTCCCCCGGCGACCCGACCGAAATACCTTGCTAAAATCACGACAAATAGCCATTTAAGCGTGTATTTGGGGTCGGGTCGCCCAGGAAGTAAATGGATTTTGGGATTATTGACCATTATACACTCAGATGCATCGAGCACACCGACCAAGGCACTCAGGAGAATATTTGCCCCACTCCCACGGCGACCTGACCCAAATACTTGGCTAAAAGCACGAAAAATGGCCATTTTAGGGTATATTCGGGGTCGGGTTGCCCAGGAAGTAACTGGATTTTGAGATGATTGACCATTATACACTCAGATGCATTCAGCGCACCGACCAAGGCACTCAGGCAAATATTTGCGCCACTCCCGCGGTGACCCGACCCAAATACCTTGCTAAAATCACGAACAATAGCCATTTTGGGGTGTATTCGGGGTCGGGTTGCCCAGGAATAAATGGATTTTGGGACTATTGACCATTATACACTCACATGCATCTAGCGCACCAACCAAGGCACTCAGGTGAATATTTGCG